ACTACAAGCTATTTTAATAATAGATGTCGCTATAATATTGAGTGTGTGGAGTTTTTAGCGACACTTGATTAACAGGTACTTTTCATATTAAAATATGAACACGATTAAAATTGAGCAAAACAATAATTTTATTGCATCACGGAATTAATATTTGGTCACTCACACCGATGAACGTCGAATTTTACCCACTCCGTATTTTTTTATGAAAATTTTATTCTTTCCCTACATTTGATTTTGAGTTACATTGTTATGTCCCATAACGCCGTCGGTTTTATTGGAACGGGGGTATCTGTTTGCATATGTGAAACCTATACCGGTTGGCCTCAATGAATCAACTAATGGACCAATTGCGTCTTGAAAGAGATATTTAAGTAGTAAATATATCGCAAGAAAAACTAAAGCTGTTTTCAGTGCAAAACGAACAGATGTAACAGCTGTGTTGTAAATGACGTTTCGATTGAATGGAGTATTATCGGTTGTCGATCCGCTCAGGTTTATTTCGCAGTTAAAACAGTTAAAATTGTATGTTATATGAGGCTGAGTTGTTGTGACATCATTCTGAGAAGAAACATAAAGACGTACGTTTATTGAAGCGAATTCACATCGAATCGAAAGGAAACATACCTTTTCAACAGCACCCGATATCGATTGTGTTTGATTTGCATCGTTGTTTGGTATAGGGTTTTCTTCGGGTTTGAAATTTACACCACTCTTCAATTCTACTTCGTCACTGGAATGTGTGTCGTTTGTCTGCAAACGAAAATATATTATTATTAAGATCTAATAAGGGAGTAATTATTATTAGTATCTAATAATACCTTTATAGCCATAATCTCCTTTCGTCACAGACGATAGATTTATATTTATGTGGATTTTGGACGAACACACTCTATATTAACTCACCATCGAGAGCGATTCAACTGCAATTAATGTTAACAATATGCAATGCAACTGTATAACAGTTACTTTTGAAAACAATATAACTCAAGAAAATAAATTTTTTGGCTTTAGCTTTATGAAGGTTGTTTGTGGTTTCACATTTATGGAAACATGTCAAGAATACTAGCGATGCTTACAAATGTCAAAATTCGTTGTGAATTTTGTCGATAGGCATATAAATATATGTATACGATTGCATACAGTGAAAAAAATCCTGAACGAAAGATGGCGCTATATCTTTCCGATTATGATGGCAAATAAATTATCATCTTAAATTCAGTTGTTCATATGACTTCGGAATAGTATTTTCAGAATAGGGGATATGAGTAATATTCCTTTAGTTGTAAAAAATTTAATGAGTTGAATAACAATCATGCAATTTTTACATTTGAAAAGTCACCTTTGAATGAAAAAAATTGGAATATTGAATGGAATTCAGTAACAATGCAGTTATCGTTAATTCTGTGGTAAAACAACGGGGGAAATTCAATTGAATTAATGTAAATTTCGATTCATCATTACGAATTTTGACGAATTAGTTTTCATTCTCTGAAGAAACATTGTTTAGATTTATGAAAAATTTTATAAGCTAAAATTAAAACTGACTAGACATCGAATTACAACACTCAATTCAAATGTGAAAATTCAATCCATATCTTCACATGAAAAATACCACAAATCTATTTTCAATTGATTGCAAAATTTTATAATAATTTAATTGAAATTTATAAATACTTTAATAAAAAAACAAAATAAACCCATTTCAAGTCCTTTCGTAATAAAGTTCGTTTTTGAGATGAAGGTCATTTTGAGAAGAAATAAATAGATAATGTTTTCATTGTATGTTCATTTTTAGGTCAATAAAATTGAAACAATGCAAAAATGAAATGTTTAAAAAAAAAGTAAAATCCATACTATAATCAAATTTACTTAGATAATAAATCGAGGACGATTCATTTAGAGAGGGGAAAGTTAATATACGATATTTCATATTCAATTTTTGTGATAATTTGATTTCAATTTAGACTCGGTTTCAATCAGTAAAATAATTAACAATAGTACACTGTAACGAATCATAAGAATTATACCGAAGTTTCCTTGACAAGTTTAATTAACAAACTAATCGAAATTACATTCTGGAACTAATCAAAATTAATTAGTAAATAAAAAATAATTTTTCCAAGTCCAAGTTTAGGTTTACTATAAAAGGAATAACAATAATATTGTAATCAGTTCAGTATT